ATTGGAGTCTACAACCAAAAAGTCCCACTGTGTGCAAGTGTTTGGCTATGTTGAACGCAATGCAAAGTATAATATTGGCCCTGTCCAGCACTCTGCAAAGCTCACAAGCACAGCGTTATGCAGGTGGGTATTAAGGTGGCCATACACTGTACAACCATCGCAAGACCTTAGTCTTGCGATGGTCGTAAAGTACTTAATAAAATGTACGATCTGCCCATCTTGGACAGGTAGATCGTACTTGCGATGACTGCAATGAAGGGCAGGCTTGCGAGGACGGCAAATGGGCAGTGTGCGCGTGTGCACACCGGCCCGTTCGTCAGTTGTCGAACAAGCAGGCCACTAACTCGCCGAGAATCGTACGATTCCCGGCGGGTTTTCTAGCCTGCTGGTTCGACAGAAGACGTGCGACCGTACAGTAGAAACGGTCGCACGCCTTCCATACACTGCACGATTCTCGTACGATCGCGGGATTTCCCGCCATTCTCGTACGAGAATCGTGCAGTGTATGGGCACCTTTAGGGAGCCTTTTAAAGAAACCTTTTTCTGAGTGAAACCTCGAGGCAGGCTGGCATCTACTTTTCGAAATGCATGTCTGAATGTCTTTAGTGCTGTCCTTTCAGAGCCTCTTAGGCCTTGTTCACACCAAATGCAGACCAGATCTGCATGAGTTTCTGCACACGCAGTGCAGTGGGTTGTGCTGCGTTTTTTGCCACGTTTTTGATGTGTTCCGGGCCTTTTTTGGTTATAAAAAAATTATATTTTTTTAGTTTAAAATGGGCTTTCAGTACACTCCAGGGCATTTGCATGCGTTGTTGATGCGTTTGCATGCGTTCCAGAGCAGGTAAAATAGGGCCTGCTGCAGTTTTTTTTACCTGCTCTGGAACGGAACACTGTGATGTAAACTGGAGCTAAAAAATACCATTGGAATACATTGGACGCAGTTGTTGCTCAGGTCTGTAACTGCTCTGCTCTGCTCCTGGAACGCGCTTGGTGTGAACAAAACCTTACCTGGAACTGTGTGCATGCATGCTTGTTTCAGGTCAGTGATTTTGAATGTATTAAATGGATCGGCATTAGTACTAGGTAACTCACATTTTCAGAAAAGTGTCAGCTTTCATGCTTTACATGGCACAAGTTTCCTTTAAAAGGCCATATGCACTTACCCTTATACAGGTAGTCAGAAGTGTGGATTGTGGGCCAAACTGAAACTGGCTTAGAAGGATAATATGGTCCATCTGCTGACTGGGTAAAACAGTTAGGCCTTGTTCTCTTCATGTCTGTTGAGCTGTGTTTTTCTGCACACCAGTGCACATGTATGGTGTGAACAGGTCACAAAACAAAGTAAGTTTTTACTTAATATACAGTAAGTAATTTCAGCAAATCTGGAATGAGGGGTGATGGATTCTAGACATAGAAGGTAAAGTCCAATTTTATACAGAGCTTTCACAGCTGCCGTCTAATGGTTGATAGAAAGGTGTGACATGTGAGTGGGTTTAGTAGAAAATTTACAACAGCCTCTATGGACAGGTACTATTAAGGTGGCCATACACTTTACAAGCATCGCAAGATGGTTGTAAAGTAATTAAAAAAACGTACAATCTGCCCATCTTGGACAGGCAGATCGTACTTGCGATCCATCGCAAGCCCGCCTCCCTGAGGGGGCGGGCTTCCGACCACTGCAATGCTGAATGGGCAGTGTGCGGGTGCGCACACCGGCCCGTTCAGCATTTGTCTCCCGAGCATCATTCAAACCAGCCAAAAATCGTAAGATTTTCGGCTGGTTTTCTAGCATGCTCCTTAGACAAAAGACGTGCGACCGTACAGTAAACACGGTCGCACGTCTTCATTCACACTGCACGATTCTCATACGATCGCGGGATTTCCCGCGATTCTCGTACGAGAATCGTTCAGTGTATGGTCACCTTAAGATGGGATAGCATAAGAAAAAGTAAGTTACGCTTTAAGGAGCACTTAATTGTTACTTGAAAATCACCAAGAACAAATGTTCCATTTATTAAATGTTTGTAAAGAGCAGACGCAACACTGCTTCCTTCCATCTATAAACTATGGGGGGTTTTTTTTGTTGACTGTGTAAATGGTTTTGCAAGTTTAGAATATTATGAGAAAATGTCTGCATTTGTTAGTAGGGAATGTCAATATATTTACTTCATAGACATCTCTAAAGATCTGGTACAGGAAAGACCTATTATTTTTCTTTAAAAATGTGAAATGTTCTCTTTTTTTTTTTTAAGACCTTTATTCTATAATCTTTATTCTATAACGCCACAAAGCTTTGTATGGTGATTCCTGGAATCTGTCCAGAAGACAAATACAGCTTCCAGAGTTCCAAATGGTTTATTATTTGCTGCTTCCTGTAGAATGTTGGTCTGAGTATCTTCATATTTTATTTCTTATTGTGAACACCTGCAGGCTGTGGAGAAATCCGCTCTTCAACCCGACTGATTGAACATGTGCAGGTAATAACCAGATGTGGGTTGATTCCATTAAACCTCTTTCCTGTTCTTTTTTCAGATCGGTGAAGAAGAAGAAGCCTGAGCCAACGGATTACAGAAAAATGAGGCCTGCCCAGAAACGAAAAATAATGTAAGTGTGCATGTGAACTTGTGCTAATTGGGGAGATTTACATCAATTATCTAATTGCTGTGCCTACATGTTGCCTTGCTTTCGTGGCTCAGTTTAATTCTGTACAGATGTACATGTCTGGAAAATCTAAAACTGTTGACTGAAAGTGTCTTAAAGCTGAACTCCAGGCAAGCAGCTACAGTAAATGCACATTTTAAACATCTACATAGGAACTGGTTTAGATTTAGAATTTTGTATAGAGAGTCCTGAAGTTCAGTCATCCCTGCATAATAGCACAAGCAGATCCTCAAACATGAAGTTTATCAACAGCAGAGCTCGGTAATAGCACTGAATCCAAACACGACCCAGTGTGTTGCTTGGACAGCGAAGCAGCATTGATGAGGGCATCCTTCTCTCTACTCTCCACTTTCCTCCTGGCAGAATGCCCCTGTCAACATGTATGCAATGCAGTACATACGATAGAAGAAGAGCAAAAGAGAAGGGTAGGGGACCCTGTAATTTACTGAGTACCTAGACTCCTACTGCTGGACCTCCTGTGCCAGTTTGAGTGTTAAGGTGCCCATACATTTTACAACCCTCGCAAGACTTTTGTCTTGCGAAGGTTGTAAAGTACTTAAAAAACCGTACGATCTGCCCACCTTGGACAGGCCGATTGCGATGACTGCAATGGGGCAGTGTGCACGTGCGCACAGTGGCCCGTTCGGCAGTTGTCGAACAAGCAGGCCACTAACTCGCCGAGAATCGTACGATTCCCGGCGGGTTTTCCAGACTGCTTGTTTGACGGAAGACGTGCGACCGCACAGTAGAAACGGTCGCGCGCCTTTCATACACTGCACGATTATCGTACGATCGCAGGATTTCCCGCGATTCTCGGACGAGAATCTTGCAGTGTATGGGCACCTTTAGAATGACTTTGCAGGAGATTACAGGTGGCTGCTGACTAATTCAGATATTTATACAATTTGCATTTAAAATACATTAAAAAGAATCTATAAACCATTTAATATATTTTCTTTACTATTTTTCAAACTAAGAAGCCTTCAACCTTTAGCCTTTGCCTTAAAACTTTTCATATTCTTCCAGGTTACTGTTTTACTGGAAAAAGACCCATTTAAAGTCACCTATGTAGTTCTTCTTGCTAGCCCATTTAACAAAACCCGTGTTATGACGTTATTTAAACAAATAAATAATTCCAGCCACTGTAAGGGATCAATTTTTAATTTCCCTGGAGTTCAGCTTCAGGTGAGGGTTACACCTGCACAACACCCGGGACGTGCGATTGCGTGCTAGTGCACACAGCTATTGCCACGAGGCCCCATTGATTTCAGTGGGGTGACATCCGCGCGGCAATTGCTAAAAAAGATACAAGTACCTTTTTTTGCGACACACGACGTGCTGCTTTTTTACCTGCAAATGTTTTCACTTGCACAAGCGAAATCGTGGCGGGAAACTGTGCGATCCGCCCGGCGCAACTGGGGTACCATTAGAAGACAATGGCACCCACAGCGCAATCGGTTCACACCTTGGCGACTCCCGACCGCGTGGTAATTGTGCACAAAACCACACGGATTGCTGCAAGGTCAGGAGTCGCCTAGGTGTGAACCTAGCCTCAAGCAAAATCACAACTGTGGTGTGAAGCCAATAAATAGAAACCATATGTAAAGGGAGCAAATATTGGATCATTCTTTTCCCCTTGATGTTTCTCATAGCTGTAAGCACACAGAGAAGATTATTCTTGCGTATTCTCTTTTATAAGCTGTGTGTATGAGACATGCCATGAATAGCAGGGCTGTGTGATAACTCCATTAAGATATATGTGTGCAGCGTGATGTGTTGTTTCAGCAGACAGCCTGCATTTCCCAGGAAAAGTCCAGACTAAATAAGAGTAGGCATTTCTGCGCAACCCCTGCTATTTCAGAAAGTCTGCAATGTAGTGCAGGATTTGATGATGCGGTGAGTGAGACAATGATCACACAGCAAGCCAATTTAGGCCAGACTAGGGGATATTTTTCATGCGTTTAAGCACTAGTAGAATTTGGAAGGCACAAAGAACCAGCCTATTATGGAAGATACAGGTAATATTTTGGCTAATTTAACCTCTTGCCGTCCGCCCGTAGTAGAAAAACGGACGGACGGCACTGTCGCATTGGCGGGTTGCCGTCGCCCCCTAGCAGGCACGCACGGGCAGAAAAGACCCCTCACCTTGAATCCCGGGATCCGCTGCCCCATCTGCGGCCCGGGATCGGCTCGGAGGGCGTCAATAAAGCAAAATCCAAAAAGGTCTTTCAACAGTCGAGTAGAGCTGTAAAGCAAACCTGTTCTTTGCAGACCAACAGGCTCCCTATAACCCTTTCGCTGCCAAGCCATCGACCATCTTTTAACCTCTAGCTAGCCACACCATTGCAATTTTTCCTATTGTTTTGATCTATTACTGCTGTGTTGCTAGCGTTTGTAAAAGACCAACCCAAGCCATATATTTTCTGAAACCACAGGCTCGGTAGAATAAAAAGATGATGTTACTAATTTAAAAAATCAAGCCCTGCAATGTGTTCTAACAACGCAGCGCATGTGCATGGTGCACACTGTTGCATGTGTATAATAAAAGTGTGTGGGGGGGGGGCGTGGATTGTGTTTTTCACATTTTTTTTTTTTTTTACTGTTGGGGGGCTTCGGGGAAATATCAGGGGTCTAAACAGACTCCTGACATTTCCTTTTTGAAGTAGAAAATGAAATTGAGCACACAGAGTGCTCAATCCTTGTCTGCAGCCTCAACACATTTACTATCATCCAGTTATGAATGGGTAGAAGCCTCCATAATGAGGCTACCGCCCATTGAGAAGCTCATAAATGAACAGGAAGTGATGTAAAGGACTTCCTGTTCATTCATAACAGGGGGACACTATGTGTCCCCAGTTGTTTACAAACATTGGAGTGATCAGCTGATCATTCCAGTGTTTGTCCTGCACACAGAGAAGCTGTAAATATCACAGATATTTACTGATCCATCGCTCTGCCATCCTGAGATGCTTGGCCACGCACGATCACAGAGCCGTCGGTGATCTATGGGTTTGACAGCCGGCGACTCTGATCTCCTCAGCGCTCATGCAGCGTGCCCTCCCACCCCCCCGGACCACAGTGCCTCAGCCTATACAGGGGGGGGGGGGAGAGCATTGGGGATCCGAGGCGAAATAGATCCCAGCCGGGAGGAGCTCCAGTTGGGCAGGCGAGGCTGCAGATTGCAGGAGGGGATGGAGGCCTCTGACGTAAGTCAAGCTGGAAGCAGTTACCGTATGTTCTGCCGTAAATTTTGCGTCTGTGGCAGCGAAAGGGTTAAAGTCTGATCCCCCTAGTAGCAAACTCATCTTTGCTGACCCACTTCTCCATTTAGCTGACATTACTGGAGGATCATGTGATTCTCCTTATGCAACAGCACTGTTGTGTGGCCTTTTGCTGTCATGCGAGGGCCGGTAGACGGTCAGCCCTTTGTAAGCTCTGACTATAAATCTATTTGGAACTTAGACTTCATGTCTTTCCCTTTTGTATGGCTATGTAGAGTAGTAAGGAGTACAAGCTTATGTTGCTGGGTAGGCTGCTGCATTAAGAATGTATATGTGCTGCATTAAGAATGTATCTGGTCATTTTGAACAATTGCCCTTGCAAGTGGGGTTATCTCCCCATTTTAATGGTTAAGTGCTCATTTTGTCTAGGGGGCTAAAATAAAGCAGAGCAGACATACTCACCTGATCCTTGGTTCTGTGGCAGTGGACTCTCACATTTCTCCCCCTCTGCTCCAGCTGTGGAATATTCTTCGACACCTTCATGTTGTATGCAAGTCAGTGACGAGCATTAGACATGACATCAGTTGTCCTTAGACCGCCAAAGCCCAGGGAAAAGGAGGCTGCGTAGACCGGTCTAGCAGCCCGAAGGGACTGAGGATCAGAGGAGTATATGTGCTTTATTCAAGCCCCCCGGACAAAACAAGCACTTACCCTTGCAGTGTGGGGGTAAAGGCAGGGCAAGTTCTTTAAATTCCCAGGGTTCTTTTTTAAAGAGAAACTGTGGTCTTTTTCTGTGTGGGCAAAATAGAGATTCACCAAAAAAAGAAATCTGGTTAAATTAATTAGATAGTGATTCAAGGTGACTGATGGTGACAGGATCAGGTAATGATTGTCTGTGTTTTTTAGATTTAAAAAAAAAGAAAAGAATTTAATTAGATATTGAAATATTGCAGCCCACTGATCTCCAGCCTCTTGAGGTTTGTTCATCTCCATGTGGCATTTCCACATAACCAGGTTTGAAGGAAAAACAATATGCAATTCAGTTTTGCTGAGAGAGCTATTTCTTAAAGTGACATTAAAGTAAAAAAAATGTGTGCCCCCCCATGTTAATGTCGGCACTTACCCTCTTAATCCGATCTTCTTTCCTGATGTTTTCATCTGTCCCTCCAGCGGTGCGGCGGGTCTCCGATCCATCGCTGACTCCTCTGTCCCTGCAGGCACTTCCGATCCCACGGTGTCTGCATGCGGGTGCATGCGCTCATAGACTTACCTTGCGTCTCTCCTCGTCTCCCGGCCGAAAATCCGAACTGCGCATGTGCCCGCCCGAGCAGTTTCGGATTCTCGTGTGGGAGCGAGGGGCGATAACAGGTTAATTTTGAACCACTGTTAAAGCTTGCGAACTGCGCATGTGCCCGCCCGAGCAGTTTCGGATTCTTGTGTGGGAGCGCGGGGCGATAACAGGTTAATTTTGAACCACTGTTACTGCTTGCTAGCAGTAGATATAGACAAACTGAGGGTTTAGAACCCCTTTAATTGTTGTACATAAATATTAGTCTTTTAGTGTCCTTATAAAGATAGTAGAACGGGTTTGTGGAGGCAGAAAATGAATACACAGGTAAATGACGTTCGGTTATATGAGGATATCCTCTTCCTGTAACGCTGCTTGTGGACTCAGACCGTACCATTGGTATAAAATAATCTGTTCAATGCTGTCCCCGAGTTGCATTATCTGAAGGCTGCTTTTGCGCGTGCTGAGAACTCTCATTACTTATTTTGTCCCTTCAGAGGCAAACAAGAGCACGGGATCAGCTGTTATCATCTGGCAGGCAGCCGTCTGACGTGCTTTAGGATTTATTGCCAGCCTGGAAACCTCCTGTATAACCGGTGGGAAACCAATGGAGATGTAGACAGACAGGGAATAGTATTGCGCTCTAACCAGTCTTATTGTAGGGTAGAAATCACCAAATAAGGGTAAGTGTAGCCTTTTTGCTGCACGTCCAAGTCTCTGTGAAAAGTCTGTTTTGTAATGTTTAATTATTGGCTTTTATATTTTTCGTCTTCAGACGGGTGAAAAAGGAAATCCCACATATGGCCAAGAGCTGTGGTTGCACTTAATGAATAACTGTGTCACTTCTCAATTATGGGTATGCCGCTAGGGAAGTCAGAAATGGAGAAGGATTTGGGGATCATATTCATAGAAGCTGTAGCAAGTGTTGGGAATACGTTTTTAAGCCATGCTTCAAGGGATCTGTACAGAATCACATAAAAGTTATTATTATTATAGTCCTAACTGTTATGTGTAGACTAGAAGCTTTTAACCCATTTTGCTTCCTGAGTCTTTTTTATTTTGTGCATACATGTTGAAATGCACATTTTAGGCTTTAAGACTTCCTAAAACCCCCAAAACATGTAGAAAGAAAATTAAACAGTGGATGGACGAATCTGCACCTGTGGTTGTTTTATTCTTACAGCCACTGTCCGAATACATGAACAGTTTACTGTAGCCAATTGGTCACTGTTTAACTGTGAATTTTCATGTGAAATCCTGCAATGGTACGATAATTGGCAGGTGTATGGAAGGCGTGCGACCGTTTTCTACTGTACGGTCGCACGTCTTTTGTCTTACGAGCAGGCTTGAAAACCCGCCGAGAATCGTACGATTGTCGGCGGGTTTGTGGCCTGCTCGTAAGACAAATGCGGCACGGGCCGGTGTGCGCAAGCGCACACTGTCCGTTCAGCATTGCAGTCATTGGAAGCCCGCCCCTCAGCGGGGGGCGCTTGCGATGATCACAGGTACGATCTGCCTGTCCAAGATGGGCAGATCATATTTTTTTTAAATTACCTTACAACCATCGCAAGACAAAAGTCTTGCGATGGTTGTAAGGTGTATGGCCAGCTTTTGAATGTCAATGTATGAACATCTTTAGACTTAGCCTGTCCTTTGCCCATTCCGAGGAAGTAACCGTTTTTCTGCATCCTCCTGCTCCTGGTAAGTAACTTATTACATGAACAAAAATAAATCATCACGGTTTAGGCCCTGCGGGTGCAAAAACCCCACTCTATTACTCATAGTGGGAGATATAGTGGGAGAAAGTCGGACAGGTTGGGGTAAAGAATTCCAGAATTCTTACGGCTTTGTAAGTGGTTGTTAATATTTTGAATTTTATCCTTTGGGCTATTGGAAGTCTGTGGAGGGATTGGCAGAGGGGGGTTGCAGACACTGAGTGGTTGGTTAGGTGAATAAATCTAGCAGCAGCATTCATGATAGACTGAAGGGGGGATAGCCTGTGTTGAGGTAAGCCAATGAGGAGGGAGTTGCAGTTGTCAAGACGAGAGATAACAAGTGAGTGGATGAGTAGTTTTGAGGTTCATTGGTGAGGAAGGAGCCTATTTTGGAGATGTTACGAAGGTGACAGGATTTGGATAGCGATTGGATGTGGGGAAGAAAGGTGAGGTCCGAGTCAAGGATGACACCTAGCACCTTTGCATGGGGGGAGGGTTGGATAGTCCTATAAAAAGAGAACTTGGATGAATTAATAGTTTGGGGTCTTTGCACCCAGAGGGAAACCCCTGTCCGGCCGTCATTTAACGATCGGCGGACGGGAAGTGGTTAATTATTTATTTTAATTATTAATTTTATAATTTTTTTACTTTTTTGCTCTCACACAGGAGCCAACAAGCCCCTGTGTGATAGCATTTGGAGGTGACCGGTTCTCTTTATTGAACCTGTCACCTCCAATACAGGAGTTCTAGCACAGCAATGTACTGGAACTCCTGTGACAGCTGAGAGGGGAAGGCTGCGAGTGCGAACGGATGTTCTCAACTCTGCTCCCCGCTCTTCATCGTGGCTGAATGTGCCGTGGTCGCGGGTCCCCCAGAGGAGCGGGGGGAGAGAACCCCCGAAAACCACGGCGGGAAGGGACGAAACCAGCGGTGAGAGGCAGCCAGGCAAGGTGGGATGGACCAAGTGATCTCTGTGACATCGCCACTTGTATTAAACACCGGCTTCCCAGCTGTACATTTAGCTGTACATACATTTAGCTGTACATTTAGCCCTGCTTGCTCGAAGCAGGGCTAAATGTAGAAAACAAAACTACCCACCCAGTGGCTGTGCCACCCCGAGGCCTGACCTTGGTGGCCTTGTGGTAAATCTGTCCCTGAACCTGACTTTGTCACATAATAAGTAAATGCATTTATCAGAGAAAAATGTCATCCTTCCAATTCTTGGAAGATGTCTGTGGCTGAAAAAATGGATTATTGATTCATTTACCTCGAAGACGCTTATCACCTCTTAAAAATGGATGTTTATTAGATGTGGTGGGATACCACTGCTGAGCACAGTTGGTGTACTTGGGATACAATATGTAGTGTATCCAGTCATATGATCACAAAGGGAGTGAGTGTTCATCTGTTACATTTTGCAAGAAGAAACAGAAAGCATTTGCTCCTGAATGGTTGGCTATAAAGGTGCCCTCCCTGAATATCTCCAACCACTAACGCATATGAGGACCTGTTTGTTTATTTCACCATTAAAATTTGATAACATTCTTAATTGAATTCTCATCACCTCTGTCTGTCTGTCTGCAGTTTTTTTGGCTGATGGCCTCTAATTTTTCACTAACATTTTGATTACAGTCCATAGGGAGCTGTAGCCACTTCAGTCATAACAGCCAATGTGCAGGGAGGTTTGGCTCCACTGCCAAGGCTTGAGAACTGAAGTGTAGCTATAACCGAATGCTGTGAATGTTTAACTCATTCTGTACTAGGCTGATCATAAAGCCCAGAAAGTTAACCCCAGTGAAAAATCATAAACGTAAGAACCAGAACAGTCTAGATCAGCTTTCATTTGTTCACCAGTAGTAATTTCGCAGTGTGTTTGAAGAAAAAAAAAATTATATATAGTACTTACCAATTATGGGAAACAGACAAGTAATGCATATTGTTGCTTATATTTATAAGATCGAGCTTTAGGGTTAGAGACCTGTGCAAGCGCTGCTTCTTTAACACTGCCTCTCCATTCCCTTTTCTAAGGCAGTGCTAGGAAGTTTGGTTGTGGGCAAGTCAAGGATGTGACAGGTTCTCTTTAGAAAAGCGATGATAAAACAGAGAGCGAACTGGGCAATGAAATCAATGAGTTTTCCCAAATATTTTAAGTCTTTCAGCAAATCTTGGTACTTTTTTCCTCCACTTTGCTCCCAGTAGACTTTCCTTTTAGTATCACAGGGCATTGCTGCATGTGACATCAGACCACCTAAAGCCATACAGCATGCTTTAACACTTGGTTAAAGCTTACAGAGTCCCTTTTTTAATAACGTCTTTTGTTATTTTGAAGAAATGCATAGAGATTTTTATTTCATCTGTCCATTTTCAAAATAATTTTTTTGCAGACGCACCACTATATAGACTGGCTGTCTCCTGAAACGTTTACTTTTAATATATAATGAGAGGGTACAGAACTAAACATTTTTGATTTGGGGTTGAAATTATAACCTGCAGTGTGTGTGAATGTTATAGTCCACTTGTTTGTCCCTTCCTGTGGGTCCTTTTAAGAGACCAGAACTGGTGATCTACAATGAGATGTTCAATAATCATAGAAGGTATGAAACATGATCTTTAACATTTTATTTGATAAAGTTGCCATTTTTTTTTTTCAGTGAGGAAGAAGTTTCTCGTGTCCAGGAGCTGATCAGGGACCCTTCCTACAAAGCCAACCCCCTGTTAGCAGTCTCGGAGCACCTGCTGAAACGTATGAAAGCTGAGCAAGGAATCCTGCCTAACCTCTGACGTTGTTTCACAGAGCACTGACATCAGGAATGTGGTAGAGAGGTCGGGACGCAGCCTGCTCAAGGAAATGCTAGAAAATGGTAGCAGATTACAAAGACAAACTCTTCTACCAACACTGGGTTAACAATGCAGCCAAGTGTGCCAGAATTTCATCATGTTTGTCAGATACATCTGGCAGTAGTTAACACATGTTACCTATTGAAACAATTCTTGCCTAGTAATTATGTATGAGATGATCTATATCTGTCTGCTTTATATCTGAAACCTGTGTTATGGCAGAGGTGAAGACATAGCATTGTTTTTAAAGGTTCTTGTTCTTGGTTTCAAAACTCAAAAAAAATTTGGCCAACATGCCAGATGCTGCTTTCTTTGGTCCATGTTGTACTTAAGTGAAATCATACAATTAATATGCATAGAGCTGAAAGTTTAATTAGATACATTTAGAAACAGATACTTAATTGTTACAATTAAAATAATTTTAGTCTCCAGGTATTTTATCTGCTAAAGTACTGTTGACAGACATGTTATATGTAATGTTGTATAACATTCGTGCTTGTAATTCACCACGTGCACAGTGCTGCTTGGGACTTGTTTCTTCCCTCCTTTACTCATTTAAAGTGGGCCCCGATTCAGATTTCTCAGTGCGGCAACACAGAGCAGCTTGTGCCATTGGGATCCTCCTTAAAGGAGAACTATGAGATGAGTGATTTCCACTCACCTCATAGTTCTAGCCGACCTGTGACAATGAGACTGTCACAGGTCGGCTCAGTAGATCGGGAGGTGAGCGAACACATACCAGGTTCGCTCACCTCTCGATATTGTCACGGCTCTCTGCCGTGACAGGGGGAGGGCTGGATTCCCCTCTCCCCGCTCCGATCTGCCAGCGCTGACTGGCGGAACGGACGGGGGAGGGGGCGGGTACAGCTGGCTCTGCCTCTAGATAGGCAGAGCCAGCTGTCACTCACGCAGCTGGGCGGATCCCGTCATCTACGTCGGGATCCGCTCCGGCCGCGGCGTCTCAGTATACCGCGAGCTGTAGCTTGCGGTATACTGAGCTTAGGGTAACGCGAGGACGCTAGTTTGTGTCCTCCCGTTACCCTAAGGAGAACTATGCGGAAAAACACTGACCCCATAGTTCTCCTTTTAATCAGATTTCTAAAATTTGTGTATGTGTCAGTCTTCCTTATAATTGCAAAGGCATTCTCTTGTATCGTAATTTACTAAGAATCTCAGGGTTTCATTTCCTGTGCAGTCCATGTGCCTTAACATTCAATGCAACTAGATTTTTATTGGCTTTCTGAGATGACAACTGATCACAGCCATCATCACAGATAGACAGCCTAAGGAAATGGCACAATATGATCCAGCAAGTGAACTGAATATAATGTAAGATGTTGCACACTGCTCATACACCAAAGTGTTTTGCTATGTCAGATTAAACAGTAATACGTGTGTTGGAAATTCTAATATTTGTAAAGGATAAAATAAAATAAAAACTTCTTTTTGTTTTTACTTTGTTATATAATGCTGTATAGAAATGCAACTGTTTGGGTACAAAAAAATATATATTTATGTGTATTAATTATAGTTAGGAATAGGAGTAAACTACGCTGGGAAAGTAATATATGTTCAGTGGGTCCAAAGCATCAAATGGGTTTTAAACACCGTTATGAAGAAAACGTGTCCAAGTAAAGGATACTGCACAACCAAATGGCCAGTCCACACTATGCATATAGTTCTCTTCTGTTCAATAAATGAGAGAAGATCTGTAGATCTTGACCACTAGGTTATACCGCCACCTGAAAGAGTGGTGCACTAGGTAGAAACACAAAAAAAACTCCCCCTGTTGCTT